ATGTGCTCGGGGCTAGGCTGAGAGGTGCGTGTGCCTCTGAGAGCTCCCGGGACAGGGACAGGATGGCCCTGCTGGTGCCACACTGCTCAGTGGCAGTATCTGAGGAGGGGGCAGGTCCCAGAAGGGATGCAGTGTGGTGGCCCTGGGCTCCCAGCCTGGGAAAGAGCAGCGAACCACTGGACCAGCAGGGACCTCAGGAAATACAACAATGGGCTTCCCAGAGGAAACAAGGGTCAGCTCTAGTCCCTGGACATTCACAGGACCCCAGGGAAGGGGGACCCCAGTAATTCCTATAATTTAATGTCTTGACTCCCTAGAAGCTCAGGGTCAGATTCCAGAGAAGCAAGAGCAGCATTTCTCGTGCTCCTGGGACGGCAGCCTGAGAGTCAACCCTAGTTCCTTCCTGATGTTTAAAGAAATGCCCTACAAGGGTTAGAGGGAAGGAAATAGAAAGAATGCACTCAAGGCCCATTACCCGTGGCTTCGGCCCTTTCAAAAGGACACCTACACCATGTGCATCTTCCCTCAGCCCCCACAGCCCTCCTGCCAGGCCCTGAGCTGCACTCAAAGTTGCCTGTTGAAACCCACGGCAAGGAGGAGGGAGGCAGGGCTAGGAACCGGGGAGCTGCAGTCAGTTCCGTGGACAGAACAGAGGCCCAGAGAGAGGGTTTGAGGGTATAGCAACCCCTCCTTCTCTGCAACAGTCCCATAAGAATAAGGTGGGAAAACCCCGCCTGAAGCCTGGAATGCTAGGCAGGCTGAGAGCTTTCTGCGTGGACAGCGATGAGGAAAAGAGTCTGACAGAGGCTGTGCAGCATTCAATTCTCAGAGCTGACCTGTGCCCTCGGGGCAACCATGCATTATGGGTACTGAAAAGCCCCTCTGGCCTGTCAGGACCTCCAGCAGACCACCTGCCGGGCAGTTTTCCTTTATAAAGCGGCATCTGGGGATCAGCCAGCTTGAAGGGCAGGGGCTAAGCCAGACTTAGACTTACAGTCCGAGAGATTGTAAGAACCAAAAATGTTTAGAAAAACCACATGTGCGACAGGTCACACTCATGAAGACATCCTCCACGCCTCCATTCACTCTCACGCTGGGTCCCAAGTTAACGAGGAGGAAACTGAGGCAGAGGCATTGAGGCTCCAGGGGCACTCAGCTGGGGCATAAGGCTGGAGTGTACACACCTCCCATGGTGTCTGTGATGAGGACTCTGAAAGCAAACAGGAGGCTTGCCACGAGAGGGAACAAGGGCGTCCTCCTTCAGTTAAGAGAAGATACTCCAGGCAGGAGTCCCATGAACTGAGACCTAGAAACTTTGGCCAAGTGAAGAGCAGAGAAAACAAAGGTAGTGAGCGGGAACAGCTTGTGCAAAGGGCCTGAGGCAGGAGAAAAATCTTCCCAACATTCCCAGTGGATCCAAAATGCCCAGTATGTCTGGAGCATTTTGAGAGAGAAGAAAAAGAGCTCGAAGACACTGGATTATGCAGAACCTTGTAGGCATTCAGACTTTATGCCATGTGCCAAGGGAGGCCACCCAAGGGGTCAAGCACCAGTTACCTATACGGACCAAGCACAGAGCTTGTCACACAGGCAAGGATCAGAAAAGGGCTGTGGAATAACTGAATAGAGAGACTCAGGCTAGATGTCCAAGAAGGGGAGAGCTGCTGGCTTTACAGAAGGAAAAATAAAGTTTCAGCCTTTGCTGGTGAGAAGAACAAACAGTTTCGCCTAATCCAAATTCGCTTTCATGCCTCCCTGCCTAAGAAGCGCACAGAGCCGCCGAAATCCGCGGGCGCATGATGACAGAGTAATTTCACTGATCATTATCAAATGCTTCTATTTAGAAAAGCCCAGAAGACTGTATTAGCATGATCCAATATTTATGAAATGACATTCTGCTCTAATGAGGGCTGAGAAAATTAAGATTAGAAGCAAAAGTTGTGTCCTGGGTGTGGGGGGAGAGTAGTTCAGGGAGAAGCAGTGATTTCTCTCTGCATCTCGGAACCTTGGTTTTGTACACTGAGAAATGGGAAGGATGGCGGCAAAGATGAAAATATGTGATCAGTTGGTAGAGGAACCAAAGGAGTTTAATGTTTGTCATGCATTCCTTCATTTAAAACACACACACACACACACACACACCTGCTGGGCACAGTGGCTCATGCCTGTAACCCCAACAGTCTGGGAATCCAAGGCAGGTGGCTCATTGGAGCTCAGGAGTTCAAAACCAGCCTGAGCAAGAGTGAGACCCCATCTCTACTAAAAATAGAAAAACTAGCCAGGCATGGTCATATATGCCTGTAGTCCCAGTTACTCAGGAAGGTGAGGCAGGAGGATTGCTTGAACCCAAGAGTTTGAAGTTGCTATGAGCTATGATGCCATGGCACTCTACCCAGGGTGACAGAGTAAGACTCTATCTCAGAAAAAAAAAGCAAAACAAACAAACACACACACACACCTGATAAAGACTATTTGCCCATCTACCCACACATCCATACGACAATACGCTACTTAATACACACTGTGAGCAATTCGTCACAAGAGGCTCTAAACATAGTCTGAGGGCAAGACTGTCATGCTCCCTGTTCCCAGGGAACTTCTCCCTGGGAGGTAAACATACACTGGACGAGTCACTGCAGCTGTGATGGGTGTGACTGAGGACACACACTGGTGCGTGACAGCGAGTAGACCCGACCCAGACATGGAGAGCAAGCACCAGAGAGTGGGCGGGGGGGGCGCTGCAAAGTGCCAAACTCAGGAGCACTCCCGAGGCAAGAGTCAGAAGATTCTGGCAACGGACAGAAGCAGAGCAAAGTGAACACAGTGGGGAGAGAGACATGGGGAGCCCAGAGGTGTGGGCAGGTACCGCCATTTGGGCCTTGGTGGCCTCAGCAGAACCTTGGCCTTCCCCCTCAGACCAACGGGCAGCCGGGGAAGGGCCCGAACAAGAAGCTGAGTACAGACGAGGGGGAAAAGTGGTGACGTGCACATGCTTATATTCTAGAATAATCTCTCTGGCTTGTGTTTGCAGAAAGGATTGAAGTCAGAACAGTAAGTCAAGGAGCTTTTAGAAAGTTTTCCAGTTACCCAGGAGAGAACCGAGGGTTGTGTGTACCCCGGCAGCAGTGGGAGAGACGGAGGGGCTTAGACACAAGAGGGAGAATGGCAGAAAAAGGGGTTGACTGGAAAAGGGGGTGAGAGAGAGGACCGAGAGGGCCTCTGAGTCAGTGCTGCAGCAAGAGAAGGCGCCTCTTCCAAGATAAGAAACGCTGGAGTGTGAGGAGGTGGGGAAGGGGAGTGGGTGAGTCAAGAGATGCACATGTTTTGCAGATGTAGATGTGGAGAGCCTACAAGACCCTGCCGGGTGTCAGGGGAGCTAAAGTGAGCAGGAAGAGCTTGTGCACGCACGCACATACACATACACACACGTGCCCATCCACACTAGAAGAGCTGCATTTATTAGACCAATATCAAAGATGGCCACGCAGAACAGAGCAGATGTGATATGTTTAAGGAGAGATGTCTTGGACTCTTGGAGTCCCCAATGGCATGAGTGATTCAATCATCTAAACCAGAACACTTTTGAGAGTAATGTCACCATTATTGAAAAACATGATTGGGCGGCACACATAGAGGTTGTTTCGTGTTGCCCCCCCCAGTGGGCATGTGCAGCTGCTTGTGCTCACTTCTCTCACTCCGAGTAGGATCCTGGTGGTTCTAAAAGGCTCAGTTGTGTCCCAGAGCCCAACTCTAGTATGCCTTGTCTCAACCTTATAAGAGAAAGTTATATAATTTACGCCCTTCATAGTAACTACCCAGAGCTCTCTAGTGCCTCCCCCCTGTGGAGCCAAACTCAAGTCGGTGAGGCCACATCCTCCCCTGGACATCTCTGAGCTTTGTCTTTGCCTCCAGTTCATTGGCATCCTAAGAAACCCCGTGTCCCAGAGTAGCCAAGGAGACATGGCAGCTGGGCAGTACTGGGTAGGTCTAAGTTTCTAAGAGATGTCTAGGAGAGAGGTCTAAATGTTGGGATCACCAGGATACACCAAGCTGGGAAGTGTCTGAGGCCAGAATGTCAAGAACACACAGCCAGCCTGAAGAACGCCCAAGTTCAACGTCCATAGTGAGCTGAGACCGAGGAGCGTGGCAGGGGGTGGGGATGGGGTAAAAACCAAGATAGATGTGGGCTAGAGGGAACCCTTGGTCAGAGAAAAACTAAAACACGCTTCCCTTCTCCAACAACTAATGGTCTTCACATCTGTAGTCAGGATCATATTCTTCAGAGGTGATAATTATTTGGGGGCTGGAACTCTTCCTGACCTATATCAACAGGTAAGCTTCTCCAAGCCCCACCTCACTCAGATATTCCCCACTCTAAATGTGACCTCCCTGAGTACACCTCCTTCAGCTTTGTCCCCTGAAATACAGCAGGTGTACCTCCTCCTGGCCTGCCTCATGCAGGCATCTCTCAAAAATTTCCATCAGGCCTCAGCCCCACTGGTTAAGGATAAGTGTGGTATTCAGCACGTGAGGACTTACCATCCTGACTGTGGAAATCTCCTTAAATATCTACAACCTGCGTCCATGGGGCCTTGAAGAAAAAGCGTGACCTCAGATTCTTCAGAAGCCTTTTCTCCTAAAATCTCACTACCATCATGCTCCCAAGCAAAACCTAGTGATGGTGTATGAAAATACCACACTGTACCCCCAAAGTGCATCAATGTACACAGTTACCATTCAATAAAAAAAAAAAAAAAATCCACAAAAAAAAAAACACCTAGTGATGCCCTGATGCTAGCTCAATCTTGACAGCTCAAAGCTAAAAAATATCCTAAAGGTCGCCGAGTCCAGGAGACATGGTTCCTACCACAACCTGAAGAATTCGTTCAGCCTTGGTTTGGACACCTCAGCACCCACAGATTTATCTGTTGGCCTATCAGGTAGCTCAATTGAAAGCATGTTCTTCCCCCTCAAGGCCCCAAACACGACGGATCACATACCTGTGGGCACCGCCTGGTCCAGCATGGGTTTCTCCCACGTGTTAACCTGCTCCCAGGTGAACCCATTGGTCCCCAGGGCCACGCTATAGCCACAGTTGCTGTAATGCTCCTCAAAGGAACAGCCACCTGCAGACAAAGAGATATGGGTAAATAAATTCCCGCATTGGAGGCTCAGTTTGTTACCCCCATCTCGTCGGCTCTTCATTGACAGCTTTGAATTTTAAACTCTGGAGATTTTTAAAAAGGGGGTGGCAAGCAAATTGGATTTTTATATTTGCTTTGATGCTCTCAGGAAAGACGCTGGCATCTGCAGGCCCCCCTATTTTAAAAAGTTAATAAGGCTAGTTACATTGATTTTAATCTTCCTTCCTGAGAAAGTAAACAGCAACGCCTCATTCTAAGTAGGAGAAATGAATGCCGGGGCATGCCTCTATAATTGCTTCCTGCAACGGGGAGAGACGCTCTGAGGCAGCAGAAAGAGCACCCGCTTCAGAGTCTGGCAAAACTAGATACACATCGTCTTTGCAAAGCTGGGTGAGCTCGGGCCAGATGCTCAGCACCTGTGTGTCTCAGTTTCCTCACCTCCAACATGAGCAGGTAAACATCTACCTTACAGAAATATCATAAAAACTAAAGGCAATAACAAATACGGAAAAGGCACAGAATACATTCTTGCAGTTTTGGGTTTTTTTTTTTTTTTTGGCCGGGGCTGGCTTTGAACCTGCTACTTCCGGCATATGGGGCCAGTGCCCTACTCCTCTGAGCCACAGACGCCTCCCCCAGAATACGTTCTTAATGCTCCCACGTCCCCCCCTGCCAAAGCAGCCTGAAATACCATCTCTCCTGGAGTAAGAACTGAATTGGTGAGAAATTAGACAATCATGCACCTGGAAGATAATAAAATCAATGTTGATCCTGTTTAAAGCTTCTCGCTTTCACTCGAAAGGTCAGGCCATCCACCGTTCCACAGTAAGTTATATCCATTCGGTTCTGACAAGGATTCACTGAGCAGATGCCACGGGCTGTAAGTCACCTCAAGGTGACACTGAGAGAGACATGAGGTACAAAGTGGAGGCTCCAACTAGGAAACATGGGTCTGACCAGAGAAACAAGAGCCCATTATATTCTGGAGAAGAGAAGGGAAGAGAAGGAGGAGGAGTGACCAGGGCTCTGGAGGGTGGCAGCACCTCCAGGGGCACAGGGAGGGAGAAATGGCGCTCGGGAGGGCCTGCAGGGCACGCAGAGGCAGCACAGCACTGCAGAGCTGCAGTCTGAGCTCCCCTGCAGACCCATTTCTCACCCCAGCTGGTCTCCCACTGTCCCTCTTGTTGCCTTGGTGCTCAGAGATCTCATTACATCACCACCCCCTCCTTTAAACCCATCCCACACAGAACCGTATCTGCTATAGACCGTTCGCGATCCCTTCCCCACCTGACACCCCCCAAGGTGATGGTATCAGGATGTGGGGCCTTTGGGAGGTGATTAGGACATGAGGGCAGCGTCCTCGAGATTGGGACTAGTGCTCTCACAAAGAGATGCCAGAATTCATGCCAGGACACAAGGAGAAGGCTCCCTCCATCTCTGAACCGGGAATGAGGCTCTCACCAGATGCCCAATCTGCCAATGCCTCGATCTTATATGTCCCAATTTCCAGGACTGTGGGAGAGAAATTTCTGTTCTTTATAAGCTGCTCCGTTGTGGCGTTCTGTTACAGCAGTTCAGATAGACTGAGACAACGTCCCAACACAGCTCTGCCCATGACACAGGGATCATCCCCTGCCTGGGTCTACAGTTTCATGTGACATCACACAACTGTCTCCATCAGCTGCAAAGGACCAAGCCCTCCTCTGCACCCAAACCTGCGATTTCCTCTGGATAACAGCAATGAAAGTTCTTTTGACATATTTGATACAGAATTTGGTCAAAACACCATGGAAGAAGACGTGTGATGTCAACGCTTTCTCTGATTTTCTCTCTTGCTGGGTATGGAAACCCAGAAGGGTTGGCCTTTAGCATCTGCCGTGTGTCACCCCTGAAATTCATACATCAAACCCTAAGCTGCATTGCACTGGTGGTAAGAGCTGGAGCCTTGGGAGATAGTTAGATCAAAGGGGCCCTGCCCTCATGAATGAGATTCATGCCGTTACAAAAGAGGGCCTGAGGAGCCTGTTTACATCTTCCACCACGTACAAGGAGCCATCTATGAGGAACAGTGCCCCACCAGACACAGAATCTGAGGATGCCTCCATCTTGGATTTCCCAGCCTTTAGAATTGAAAATACATTTCTGTTGTTTATAAGTTACCCAATCTAAGGAATTTTCTTATAGTAACCTGAACAGGGTAAGACAGCACCCCAATGACTTGGGCTGGGTTAAGGAGGGCTGGACTTATACTGGTAGTGCAGGAGTTAAGAGTGTTATATTTCTTTGTACTAGAAAGTAACAGAAATTGATTTATCGGACAGCTGAAGAGGAAAGGAAGGGAGAGGGAGAGAAAGGTCCAAGAAGCACAGGGAAAAGCAAAGACCTACAGAAGGCGACAGCCGGTGAAAAATGACTCAGGATGGGACGTGGCTGACGCATTGGTAAGGACCATGTGTTTCCTTTCATTTTTTCATTTACTTATTTGACAATGATTTAATTGAGCACTTACTATAGAGCAGGTGCAGAATTAGGTACTGGCTACCCAGCGATTTACAGAAGAGGATGCTCTCATGATTCAGTGAGAGACGGACAGTAAACAGTAAGCGAATGACTAAGTACACATTTTAGTGTGTGCTGGGAGGCTGCAGGTGGGCGTAGGTGAGACGATGGCTAAGCTGGAGCACTCTGGGGAGATTTCTGACCATGAATTGGAAACAGCTCCCTGCTCTGTGCTGAGGTGGCCATCCACAACACCCGGCCCCTCAGTGACCACCCACAACACCCGGTCCTTCAGTAACCACCCATGACACCCGGCCCCTCAGTGACCCCCCCCCCATGACGCCTGGCTCCTCAGTGACCACTGATGATACCTGGCTACTCAGTGACTACCATGATGCCTGGCTCCTCAGTGACCACCCACAACGCTCGGCCCCTCAGTGACCACCCACAATACCGGCTCCTCAGTGACCACCCATGACACCCGGCTCCTCAGTGACTATCCATGACACCCGGTTCCTCAGTGACCACCCATGATGCCTGGCTCCTCAGTGACCACCGATGACACCCGGCTACTCAGTGACTACCCATGATGCCTGGCTCCTCAGTGACCACCCATGACACCTGGCTCCTCAGTGACTATCCATGACACCCAGTTCCTCAGTGACCACCCATGACACCTGGCTCCTCAGTGACCCCCCCATGACGCCTGGCTCCTCAGTGACCACCGATGACACCCAGCTACTCAGTGACTACCCACGATGCCCGGCTCCTCAGTGACCACCCATGACACACGGCTCCTCAGTGACTATCCAAGACACCCGGCTCCTCAGTGACCACCCATGACGCCTGGCTCCTCAGTGACACCCCCATGATGCCTGGCTTCTCAATGGCCACCCACGACACCCAGCCCCTCAGTGACCACTCATGATGCCCAGCCCCTCAGTGACCACTGATGACACTGGACCATCAGTGGCCACCCACGACACCCAGCCCCTCAGTCACCATCCATGACACCCAGCCCCTCAGTGGCCACCCACAACACCAGCCTCTCAACAAAAGCTGGCTACAGACAACAGCCTCAGTGGTGCTGAGGAAAGAAGACCATGACCAGTGTGGACTGGTGAGGATCCACAGACAAGAATGGAAGTCATAGGAGACAAGAGGAAAAGTTAGGAGCAGATGACAGAGGAGACGTCATCTCAGATACACTGGAGAAGGCGGATCCTCAAAAGGCAAGAAGAAAGACAGTCGACCCGCTTCCACTAGAAGGGACTCTCCACAGGGCTGGAAACTGTTCTGGCACACAGTAGGTGCTTAATAACTATGTGCTGATCACTGAACCAATAAGTCCCAATGGGATGCTTGACACAGACCAAGTTGGGCTAGAAGGACAGTGAGCCCATGTTAGTGGCCCCCCACTTCCAAGCCCTGAGTTCCACCTGCCCCCTCTACTTAGTAAGCTCCTCCCCTCTCCCCCACATTGCCTGTCTGACAAATTCCAAAAGATCTTACACAAAAACACTTCTCTGACCAGAAGAGCAGAGTGAATGCTCCAGATTTGAAAACACAACTCACTCTATTTAAAATTAAAACAAAACAAGAGCCGTAGGTAGCGGTTCTATTTGTTCCAAGAGGCCAACTTCCTTTCCCTACATTGCCAGTGCCTCACAAGAGCCCAGCCTGTGGGAAGCAAATGAATCAGGTCAACGCCATGGGCAACAGATCCGAAAGTGATGCAATCCATGTGCGTGGGAGCCTGCAGCATCTCAAGTGCTTTGGGGAAGAGCTGGCTGAGAATCCTAAACTGAGATCAGCCTCCAGGACCAAGGAAAATGGGAGAAGGAACATGTAGCCAAGACAATGCCATGCGTATGGGAAATGGTTTCACTCCTGTTTCTTGAGCACACAAGAACATTCTGTTTCCAGGCCACCTGTCATCTAAGGAAGACTGTGTGGCAAAATCTGGAAAGGTGTAACAAAGTGATATCCAGCACTGTCAGGACTAGCCCGTGAAAATAAACTGTTACAAGCATTCCCTCTCCCCTTCCCCTACCACGAGGACCTTCAAAGCTGTGGTTGAAGATGATGACATCCAAGGAATAAAAAGTCTAGATCCCTGAGACACTCACTGGAGACGAGCCATTCAGAGAGTCACCTGACCAGGAATATCAGCCTTCAACATACAAATGTTTCTTCTCTTACACTACTGAGATCTTAGGGCTTATTTGTTACCACAGCAGAGCCTTGCACAGCTTGGCTAATATAAGAAGGTCATACTTCAGTACAGTGGTTTCAAAAAATAAATAAATACAAGCATGCTCTCTTGAGAATTTGCTCAGATACAGCAATACACCAGACACTGATCACATATGCTATCTCATTAGCTTTCCCTTAATGCCTATGACCATGTGAGTTTTATCCTTGCTCTAAACTTGAAGGTAATTGAGCAGGGAGGGGTTAATGTCCCGCTCAGGCCACACAGAAGGGAAGGGTTAGCAATAACGTTAACTCCATGGCAACCTAACTGCAGAGCCCAGGCTCTTTCTAATGGCCCAGAGAGAG